AAGGCCGTAAAACTCTACTGGATGCTCGTGATCTCCGGGCCCTTAAATGTCACTGCACCTCAAACAGGAATGCCACTGTCAAGGAAATAACAAAATGGGCTCAGGAATGCTTCCAGAAAGCATTGTCAGTGAACACAATCCACCGTGCCAGCCGCCGTTGCCAGCTGAAACGCTACAGTGCAAAGAGGAAGCCATTTCTAAGCAAGCTCCACAAGCTTAGACGTTTGCACTGGGCCAGGGGTCATTTAAAATGGAGTGTGGCAAAATGGAAGACTGTTCTGTGGTCAGATGAGTAACGATTTGAAGTTCTTTATGGAACTTTGCGACGCCATGTCATCCGGACAAGAGAGGACAAGGATAAACCAAGTTATTATCAACGCTCCGTTCAGAAGCCTGCATCACTGATGGTATGGGGTTGCATGAGCGCTTGTGGCATGGGCAGCTTGCATGTCTGGAAAGGCACCATTAATGCAGAAAACTATGTTCAGGTTCTAGAACAACATATGCTCCAATTTAGACGTAATCTCTTTCAGGGAAGACCCTGCATTTTTCAACACGATAATGCCAGACCACATTCTGCAGCAATCACAACATCATGGCTACGTAGGAGAAGGATCCGGGTCCTGAAATGGCCAGCCTGCAGTCCAGATCTTTCACCTATAGAGAACATTTGGCGCATCATAAAGAGGAAAGTGCGACTAAGAAGGCCCAAGACGATTGAACAGTTAGAGGCCTGTATTAGACATGAATGGGAGATCATTCCTATTTCTAAACTTGAGAAACTGGTCTCCTCTGTCCCCATACATCTGTTGAGTGTTGTAAGAAGAAAGTGGGATGTCACACAGTGGTAAAAATGGACTTGTCCCAACTTTTAAGCTAATTGAACATATCTTTCTAATGAGACTAATCAGAGCTTTAGATCACATTCATACACTGATGGGACACACATCAGAGGCTATGAGGGGTTCAGTGTCTTGCCCAGGGACAATAGACATGTGACTGCTGGTGGATTCGAACCTCCCAACTCCCGCATTGGAGGACGACTGCTCTAACCACTCAGCCACAGCCGCCCCTATATATACATATATATATATATATATATATATATATATTCGTACTCGTCTACTCACACAGATTCGTGTTCGTGCTGCTGCTGGTTGTTGTATCGTGTTTATACTACTAGTGTTTAGTGTAT